ACACGCAAAGTCATTACTATAATCTCCGCCGGCGTGACTGGCGATGTCGCGTAGGAGACCGGGTAATGAAGCGGGAGAATCCGTTGTCGTCCGCTGTTAGAGGTTTTGCGGCAAAACTAGCTCCGAAATACTCCGGACCGTATACCGTAATTAAAGTAATTTCACCCGTGGTTTATGACTTAAAATCCGAAGCGGGAAAGAAATTAAAAAGAATCCATATCAAGGATTTAAAACCCATGCCTGAACCGAATGCATAAGGCATACGCAAGGAGCGCAACCAGTCATAGGGGAAAACCCAAGCATAGAGAAAAAAGTCCGTCCCACCGTTGTCTTTATCTTGCTTCGCAGTGAATACTAAACGACCCCGTTTAGTCCGAGGGCGTCTACCTGGTGAACCGCCCCGAAGAGCCTCCGTTCCGACATTAAAAACTCCCCAACTAGATGCTGCCTTTAAACGCCTCGAGGCACAGGCCTATGAAGCCGAAGCCAAGAGACGAGCCCGGCTGATTCAATCATTAAAAGGGATAGCGGCAGAAAGACCGCCAGCCCCAGCGGCTCAAGTTCACGCTCCCGCTCCTGCTCCCGGACCCGAGGCAAATAATTCCGAGGACATGACCACTCAGAAACCCTGCCGCCCGACACAACCCCTCACCGTAATCCGTACTGAGATCCACATTACCACTGATGTATCGAAACCCAACTCGTTTCCTAAGATATACGAAAACCAGGAACTGGGGGATATAATATGGAATAACAAGGATCCGCAGTTATGGGACGACGAAACTAAAAAGAAAATCCTGTCACATATACCGCCAGAAATTTGTCCGAAATGTAGCCGGTACCGACTCAAAACATCCGCCGGGCAGCATTACCATTATTGGTTACCCCCTGAAACGCTAAAGATTTATTAATTATTTAGATTAGATTAATTTACCCCATACGTACATTCCCGTTAAATTATATAAAAATTGATTTTGATTTTGTTGTTTTGGTTTTATTGTATTATTAAGGTATACCGGAAATAAAAATCCTTTATTTAAACCGATATCTTTGTTGTAATTAAATTATTTTCTAGTCTCTCCAAGGAAATGGAAAGTCCCGTACTTGAAGTCCACATAACCGAATCTGATGAGGCAGATTTTCTCCTCGTCGCTCTTGACGAGGCCATTAACGAGAGACCCAGTCTCGTCGAATCCGTTACCGACGTTACCGTCCACCCAGAAGACACCGCAACGCGCATAACAAGCCAGGAACCGGTGGAACCAGTCAAAATTGTGGCATCCGACCCCGACCCGAAGGACGTGGTAGTCAACCAAAACCAGAGTCCAGGTAGGGTCGCAGCACCCCCGGCGCCGATTAGAATCCAGACCAGGGAACACCAACAGATTTATTTGCCAGTGGACACTGATGTCTTCTGTTGGCGGTGTGGCTAGCCAAGACATGTGCGAGCACACTGTATTGGTACCCCCCGGCTTTTCTGCTCTCAGTGTGGTCAAATGGGTGTGATGAGCCGAGACTGCACCTGCCAAGGAATCCCGAAACAACACCGAAAAATCCAAAAACCGCCTAGACGACTACACTCTAAAGGCGTACAATGTTGCTTATACCTGCAGGCGCTCAGAACTCCGCGGCGAGACTAAGCTACACAGTAGGAAGGAATCCCAGTACAACGAACCGGACGACGGGCTAGGTCAGTAAGTTCTTACTTCAAGCCATGAGCAAGATCTCCAGCATTTATTAGAAGGTAGTAAAAGGTGTACGTGGCCCCAATAAAGAATTATTCACAAATGGGACACGCACCTTAATAGGAGGAAATTTTATTTACCGTCATTAGTTTTAAGTTAATTTCAGCTAGTGATAAGTTTTAAGAAAGAAATAAAATAAAATTCTTTTATTTTATTTTTCACTGAAGTAAGGGGGGGATGTAATGAACCAGTATTAATTTTCCGTTTTGTGCAAGGCCGTTAGCCATTTATTTATTAATTAGTTTAATTGGGTGAGAGCAATTACCCGCGAGTCGAGCCGAAACCGTCCGTTTGCCCCACTCTGACGAGTGCCGCGCGCATAATCCCACCAAGACTCTCGCTCAGTCAAGGGGGGATTGAGGCAATAAAACCAACGTTCCTGGACGAAAATCCTCAGTTCGCTGCCAGAAGTCGAAGAACTCCAACACCAGCCTGAGGACCACCCCGAGGACCCGAAACCGACCAGAGACCGCCATCCGACCTAAGGAGTTAGTCGCCGGGAGCAACCATCCGGAATAAATAAGCAGATTGTATTTTCCTATGTTTACCTGTCCTGCTATGGCATATGTCTGGCCGTTTTGAACTTTGGCAAGACAGTACGACCACAGCGTTGTCGGTGAAGGTTTGGCTAGGTGTTCCACCGCCCTCGTGCGACGAACGTTGTCCGTCACGTCAACCGAACTGCTGGTTTGGCTGGGTGTTCCACCGCCAGTGGAAGACGTTGAGTGAAGGTTCGTACGGCAGCAGCGTTATCGGCGACGGTTTGGCTGGGTGCCCCACCGCCCTCGTTCGACAAACGCTGTGAGCCCCTTTACTGAAACTGCTGGTTTGGCTGGGTGTTCCACCGCCAGTAGAGGACGTGAAGGTGTCAGACTGTACGGCAACAGCGTTGTCGGCGAAGGTTTGGCTGGGTGTTCCACCGCCTAAGCTTGATAAACGCTGTAAGGCACAATAACCGAAACTGCTGGTTTGGCTGGGTGCCCCATCGCCAGTAGAAGACGTTGTGTGTCGGCTGTGCAGCGACGGATAGACCCTCGAAGTATGGCTGGGTGCCCCACCGCTTCTGAGAGAAATCTGTCGGGCGCCCCGCATTTGAACGCGTACCTCGTCCAGACTTTGCCTCCTGTTCACCAACATAATTCACTTTCCTGACTACCGTTTGCTTATTTATGCCCGTTGTAAACTGCTTTGCTTGGCTTTCTCCCTGGCTGGTTAAATTTTCGCTTAATTTCCGTCGCTTTGCTAGAAACTACCGCCAATATTTATGGGTAGAATTAGGGTAACCCGTAATTATTTTTCTCTGTTCCCTTTCTAGCATCGACCGAAATTTAAAAAGCCGAATAATAATTTTAGCGTACCGTTTCTTAAAGTATTAGCCTGTTTATTAAATAAACCAAACGCCAAATACTCCGTCTTTCTACCGTACCGATTTTCAGTCCTGATATTTGACTATGTGCTAAATTTGTATTTATTTACAGCACCGAAAAACTGCATTGTCATTTTAAATCCGTCGTAAATAATAATTGCTCTAACCCATTTTGTTTTAATTACACCGCTGGTAAATTGTTTGTATATTCCTGATTTTAGTTAGTGATAATAATTGTAATTAGAATCTATTTTACTTTTGTTTGTTTGTTTCAATAGGCCTTATTAATATAAAATAAATCTAGTAAATATATTTCCAGTTTGTATTCATTTTAACGCCGACAAATTTGATAAAATTCCGATCAGTAAAAAAGGGGTCCGCTTATCTTTTTGTGACCTACACTGATAAGACCGTTTATTTTAAAAAGGAAAATAACACTACACTCTAAGAACTACTTTGATTAAAAGTAAGAGAAATATAACAGACCCCTGGATTTAAACTTTCTTCACTGCAGCTATCCCGAGTACTTACTCTAAACCGAGGGTAGGGTTCACGTGGAGTTTCCCCCACGTAAAAGATAGAGAAACTGGCGCCTGAGACAAACCGAACAAACAGATTTAATCCGGAGTACATTCCTGTGACGTCACTCACCACCGCCGGCTGCCAACCACCGCTGCCGATAAATTAGTAGTCGAGGGTCGTCACAAAATTAGGCGTCCAAACAGGGACGTCAGTGACGTCAATAAATATAGTAAATTAGAATTCGAATTTGCGAATTAGGATTCCGTTTAGAGTTGGTAGTCTACTAGGGGGCGGCCACAAGTAACGTCTGAACCGAACCGTCACCACCAAGTAAAGTAAAGATATAAAGAAAGGGCGTTACAATTTGGTCAGATGAAAACCCGCACACTACTCGTCGGTTTAGCTTTCAGAGGAGATTCGGTGTCAATATATGGGCAGAAATATATGGCGATCGTTTAATTGGGCCGCATTTTCTACCTGAACATCTGAATGGGCCGCGTTACTTTCAATTTTTAGTACAATTGTTTGAAAACCTTCCCCGACAGATGCTACGGGATATGTGGTATATGCACGACGGAGCTCCGGCCCATTTTGCTCGCGATGTCCGTGGATTTTTAGACGATCAATGTCCCAATCGGTGGATAGGGAGATGAAGGCCCATAATCCTATGGACTTTTGTATATGAGATTATATGAGATCTGTCGTGTACCGAGGTAGAGAATGTAGAGCAGTTGCGGAATCGTATCGAAGATGTTGCTGAAGAAATACATAACAACCCTGATTTATTCCATCGCATCCGCCGCTCATCTGTCCAACGTGTACACTTGTGCATAGACGCTAACGGTAATGTATTTGAACATTACAGCAAATTATGATGTTAATAAAAACTGATTTTTGGCAAGGCATGCTCAGACCTCCTCGAGGTTCTTGCTGGGCAACAATAACAATTTAATGTGTTGATTGCATAATTATAAAAAATAATTTATAGCATTTTAAATTATTATTGGCTGACGTGAGTAAACCGTTTATTTATTGTATTTATATGAGCGAAAATATATAAATATGGCAACGTTGCATCTAGGGCGCGTTGTTCATATCGTAGCCGCGCGCAAATTCTGAATAACCGACTGACGTCAGCCGGTCAGTAATAGCCTCAAAAGGGGGTTAAATAATGATATGAAAATATTTTTTTTCTGCTTAAATATGCATGGAATTTTTTTTAATCACGCCATTGTATTATACTAATTTTTCTCTATCTGCTCTTAAAATTAATGACATTATGACTGGATCACCCTGTATAGGTAAATATTGTGGGTTGATGAAATGTCAGACAGTGACAAAGTTTGTAATGAATAATTATTATTTACCTGAATAGCTGGTGCACAAGATAAAGCTTCTGTAAAACAAATCATACACATGTCATCTGAATCTTGTTTTAGTGAACTGCCATTGAAACATCCGTGTAGGCATGGCAAACATCTTGATTCTCCAAGTACACCACCACATATATGCCCACAATTTAATAATTTATTACACGCCATCTTCCCATATTCCTAAAACATTGTTTTCAAAAAGTTTAGTAAATAAAATATTTTTAAAAAACATATTCAATTATTCTCATATATTTATATATGTAATATTTTTATGTACTTAATACATGTAAAATTGAGCGAAAATTATGAAAGCTAATAATTAAATATACAGGGTATCACACGGTGACGGCCCATTAAAATTATTTCAAAGACTACCTACTTCCCATTGCAATGTCCGTGAATGAATAATAAATTTAAAATATCAGCATTTGAATATGTATTGTTTTCCATTTCTTATAAACACTAAATTAAACTGTCACTGCAAGAGACTAACAACAAATTGACAGTTTAGTTGTTTGTTTTGAAGTTTTGCTAAAAATTCCACAGCTATCCTCGCAAGAAATTACATGATTTTAGGTGATTACACAAAAAATAGTAGATAACTTAAAAACTAGAAGAGATAGGTATAGGGAACCCTGATACCGTTCGAAAGAGAATAAAATTGTGTATCAGAATATAGAAAAACATACAGGGTGTTCCATTTAAAAAAACCGACTTATGAAGGTTTGAAGTTAACTAAACTCGGCATTAAATTTCTAGCACCCTGTATGCAATTAAGCCACTTTGAAAGTATGGATGGGAAGCTTAGGGGTCTAGCTATCCCCCCTATAAATATTGTTGCTTTATCTTTCTTACTATAAAATACACATGGTTTGAAGCTAGTCACTGTTTCTCTCCATTTTTTTGAAAAAAATTAAATATCTCGAAAACGGTTAATTTTAGGAATAGGGAAACTTCATAAAAGTCCACCTAAAATAACACGTAGAATCCAAAATTGCAATAATATATAGGGTGTTCCATTTAAAATAAGCAAGTTGATGGCGACTTCCGGTATAACCGGAAGTGGTACGTGGACGCCATTATTTTAGTTGAGAAGGGCATGCCCGAAAACCCGGTATCCCAAATTTTCAAAATTCAAATCGAAGTAGTCTCTGAAATAATTCTAATGGGCCGTCACTGTGAGACACTATGTTTTTTAAAAGAAATTTAGTAAAAAGGGCAAATATTGGTTTCTTAAGAAAACACTTCACATTTAAGTCGTTTTTAGTGATTTTTAAAATTGTCTTTTTAAAATGTATTTTTTAAAAATTTTAATGTTTACATATACAGTATGTCCGCGGATTGAGTTTACAAGAGGACAAATGAACCAAAAAGTGAATGATACGAAAAAAAGGCATTCTTGATAAAAATTTTTGCTTGTTTAGAAAAATACGAATCACCATGACAAACTTCAATTTTGTTGTACAGGGTCGGCTAAAAACACAAAAATGTTATTTTGCTTACTTAAGAATAAAAATACCTTATTTTGCAAGATACGAAAAAAGGCATTCTTGATAAAAGTTTTTGCTTGAAAAATGAATAAGAGTCACGTTATCAAAAATTTAATTAAATATTCTCTAACACACCTCTAATCAGAGTACCTGAAGCGAAAAGACTAGATTTTCGTTTGTGGGTAGGAGACAAAATTTTAAATGGCAATATTGATTTTTACAAGTTTATTATGTTTTCTGATGAATGTATGTTTTCTACTTATGAAACTGTAGCATCCCAGCACGTCAGGTAGGTACGGTCTCCAGAAAAAGAATTTAGAATAATGACACGAAAACAATTTTTTACAAAAGTGAACGTGTGGTGCGCGATATCTGTCCATGGCATTATAGGCCCATATTTTTACAACAACACCGATATATTGTACTTAGAAATGCTTGATACATTTTTTAGCGGTGAACTCGAAAATTACCATTAAATTCTTGATAATAAATGTATTTTCAACAGGATGGTTGTCCAGCACATTGTGCTCGTGAGGTAGCAGCATGGCTTAACAATAGATTTGGTCCAAGATGGATTGGTAGAAATGGTCCAATTTTGTGGCGCCCAAGGAGCCCTGACTGAACCATGGCCAATATGTTTCTATGGGTTTGTCTATAATATTTAAATGCTAAAAGGCAGAATTACCCAGGCTGTCCGTTCAATTTCCCAGGAAGAAATCAAAAATTCCTTCAGATATCTAAGGAAGCAATTAGAAAAATATGTTCAATGTGTTTTTGTAGTAGTAGCTTAATTGCTGTTGTAATTATGTTCGTATTATTTAAAAATTACACTCGAATAAGACGTATTTTAGTTTTGTACTTTGTTCCCTATATAAAAAATTAAATTTTTGACAACGTCACTCTTATTTATTTTTCAAGCAAAAATTTTTATCAATATTACCCTTTTTTCGTATCTTGCAAAATAAGGTATGTTTACTCTTACACAAAGTAACTTTTCTGTGTTTTTGACCCACCCTGTAGAACAAAATTGAAGTTCGTCATGGTGATTCTTATTTTCTAAACAAGCTAAAACTTTTATTTGTCCTCTTGTAAACTTAATCTGCGGACATACTGTATATATAATTCTGATATTCATATTCATTAATTCCATCGTATAGGTATGGAACAACTAAACAACTATACAGGGTGTTTTGAAAGTCTGTCAGGAAACTCCGGGAGGTGATTCTACGGATTAAAATAATAGCAGTATACAATGAATTTTTTTTATTTGTCAATTGTTTGCAAGTTACAGCTTGTCAAAGTTAAATTTTTTTTTTTTCTATTTAAATAACTTATTTAATTCAAATTCGATTAGTCTTTCATTTGGCACACCCACTAAGTAGATCTATTGGACCAATCAGAGGAAAGTTTCAATATGCGCCGTTAGAGGGCACTTTACCTAGAACTCAAAATTGGTTTTGTTCATAACTTTTTTCTCTTGCCCCACATCAATTTAAACATTATTGAAAAGAGAAACAATATCAGAATAAATTATGTACTCTCTATTCAAGCCGATCAATGTACCCGTTAAGCAGGAAGTCGTTATTAATTAAAGTGTTATTAAACATCAAATTTTTAATCATTCTGCAATAATTAGTCAAGTTGCCATACCGTAATACCTTCTCTTGTAAAACTAGCTTCGTTAGTAAATAAAATATTATTAGTAAATTCAGTATCCTCATCTTATTTTTTCACAATGCTATTGCAGGGCCGAAAAAAAATACATATTATGATGAAAAATCAAATTTATACCTGCTTTAAACAATTTTTGTTAAAATTCGTAACACCAAAATTACTAATAACATTTATTTAAAGCACTATTTTGATTTTCATTTTAAATTATTTCCAATTTTACCAAGTTAACTGTTTTCTTCGTAGGGTATTTAGAGAGATGTTCACCCTTACCCTGTTTAAAATAGGCTGACTGGGAATTTTTGGCATATATATATATATAAATATTATATAAGTTATATAGGGTCAACTACCTGTAGAGTTAAGGAAATGGGAGCATCGACATTGCTAACATGAGCTGGACAGCCTAGGAATGCCGTGTCATCAATTTTGGACAAGTGGACGGCAATAGCCATTT